TTATGATGGAATTAAGGTCAATGATGAAGCAACCGTGAGGATGATGATTAGGCCCAGGAACCTATTGTGGAACATGTGACCAGCTTCCCACATTCTGTCCTCCATGAACTTGAGGCTATCCGAAATTCTGCTGCCTGTGCCCTCACCCATCGACCCTCTGCTCACTTCAAATACCTCCATAATCTGGTCTTTTCCTATCTCTATTAACTCCTTCAGCTGTAAAACCTTCCAAAATACCTGTGTTCTGCAGTGATTGTAACAAGGTTAGACAGCTAGACCTCATAAAATACGAGTTCCCTGATTGGACCCGATTAAAAGGCCCAATCAGTGTGCCCTGGCTGACATAAAAAGGAATACTGACTCTCTGGGGCCTAATCGTAAGAGGTAGCACTACAGTCAAGGACTGTTCATGCATAAATAAAGGGTGACTTAGTGGATTCCAGTCTCTATAGAGTTACTTCATGCTCCTCCGATTCTGGTCTTTTGAACATCTCCGATCTTAAAATCACTCCATCAAGCCATCATCTATCTAGACCATAAATTTTGGAATTTCCCATGCCTCTGTATCAATTACATTGTGAACACTTTTGGGCCCCATACCTGAGGAAGGATATTCTGGCCCCAGAGGGGGTCCAGGAGAGGTTCATAAAAATGATCCGAGGAATGAGGAGCGGTTGAGGACTTTGGGTCTGTACTTGATGGAGTTTAGATGGATAAGTGAGTTCTCACTGAAACAGAGAGAAAACTGATAGGCCTGGGTAGAGAGGACATGAAGAGGTTTCCGCTAGTAGCAGAGACTAGGATCTGGGGTCACAGCCTTAGAATGAAGAGCGTCCCTTTAGAACTGAAATCAGGAGGAATTTCTTCAGCTGGAGGGTGATGAATCTGTGGAACTCATTGCTGCAGAAGGCTGAAGGGCCCAAGTCATTGAGTGTCTTTGAGACAGAGATAGCTGGATTCTTGATTAGTAAGGGGATTAAGGGTTACAGGGAGAAGGCAGGAAAAGGTGATTGAGAAAAATATTAGGCATTGTTGAATGGTGCAGCAGACTCAATGGGCTGAATTGTCCAATTCTGCTCCTATATCTTATGGATTTCTCTCACTGTCCTCCTTAAAGAGGCTCCTTAAAACCTCTCTCTGACCAAGTTTTTGGTCATCAGCTCTAGTATCTCCTCATATGGGTTTTACTTGATTAACCCTTGTGAAATGCCGTGAAGTATTTTATCACGTTAAAGCCATTGTGGTTGTTTCATTCTTGATCCACACTACATGGATTCTATGATACATACAAGCCGCAAACATTTTGGTTACAAAATAATGTCACAGGCTGGGTATTGTGCGATAAGTGACAAGCGTTTCCACCATGTACAATGTACATATCAGGTCCATGACAGAATACTCTCCACATACCTCAATTAGTGCTGGTTCAACAATACCCAAGCAAGGGTTTCAAGGGATATGGGCTGAAGGCAGGTATATGGAGTTAGACCATTGATCAGTCATGATCTTGCTGAATGGCCCACTCCTGTTACTATGTGCTATGTCCCAATGACTAGATTGTGTACCGTCTCAAACTCGGGTTCTTAACTTTAGCTTGGAACAACTCCAAGAGGGCTTTTTAACAATTTGTTTCTGAGGGCCACCCTCCAAAGACCCATATAACACAACACAAATTTTTCTGCATAAAAATTTGTTACATAAACATGTATTTACTTTTTAAACTTAAAATGTGATCCTTGTTGCTGGTGCTCAGCAATAATTTTGTCAAGACATGGAAATATCTTCAACAAGCATATGCACATATCATTCTCAATGTTAGACCATAAGACGTAAGAGAAGAAGTTAGGTCATTCAGCCCATCGAGTCTGCTCCGCCATTGAATCACGGCTGGTAAGTTTCTCAGCCTCATTCTCATCGTAACCCTTGATCCCCTTGACAAACATGAACCTATCTATCTCTGTCTTAATGACCTGGGCCTCCACAGCCTTCTGAGGCAGTGAATTCCATAGATTCACCACTCTCTGGTGGAAGAAGTTTCTCTTTATCTCCATTCTAAAAGATCTTCCCTTTACTCTAAGGCTGTGCCTTCGGGTCCTAGTCTCTCCTACCAATGGAAACATATTCCCTTCATCCACTCTGTCCAGACCATTCAGTATTCTAAGTTTCAATTAGATCCCCCCCTCATCCTTTTGAACTCCATTGAGTATAGACCCAGAGTCCTCAAACGTTCCTCATATGTTAAGCTTTTCATTCCAGGGACCATTCTCATAAACCTCTTCTGAACCCACTCCAGGGCTAGTACATCTTTCCTGTGATATGGGCCCAAAACTGTGCACAATACTCCAAATGTGGCCTGACCAGAGCCTTATAGACCCTCAGAAGTACACAAAAACCAGAAGAACTGTGGATGCTGTAAATCAGGAACAAAAACAAAGTTGCTGGAAAAGCTCAGCAGGTCTGGCAGCATCTGTGGAGGAGAAAACAGAGTTAACGTTTCGGGTCCGGTGACCCTTCC